AAACAGTGCCACTCATTACTTTCTTTACTAGGAACCAGACTTTGAAATGGATATGGAAGACCTTGCCATGCCTGGCCCACAGGAGGCATTACATATTTACATACTGTCTTCCTTGTGTTCTTGCCTAGCACTGAACTAACAAATTCGGTGGGAAGCCTAGCAGTTAAGACACTGAGACCTGCTTCCATTGCCCATATCCCTGGCACACATTTGAGAATCCCAGTTCTGTTTCTGTCAGCTGCAATTTTCTAAAATAGCAGATGGTGAATTCCGTCTTCCCCAAGGGTAGTCTGGAATGAGTGAAAATAGCCTTCAGGGACATCTTTATTCCTGAGAATTCTTCTTGCCCCTGAGCATTTCTGCTCCTGGAGTCTGACCCTGGTGTCGGTAGCATCTCTTGGGTCACCTCAGCAACAGTAACTGCAATGTGACTGATTGAGGATAGGGAAGCTGAAGCTGGACTAATTTGGGGAGCCAGGTAGGCTCATAAACAGTTATTATTGATGAAGAGTGACTTACTGGCTATTTAAAGACAGCTGGTTTCCGTACTGTTCAGCTTTTTTTCCTGAATGCACTTGAGGATTCTTTGGTAATGTCTTCTGATTTACCACTTGTCTTTGTTTTTAATATCAAGGAAGAATATAGATTGAAGCAATTGTCTTGGTAGCAACTTTAGTGGTGATAACTGTGGAGTTATTAAAATTTATAGTCATGCTGTTTTTGCAGCTAACACTTTGCATTTCTTAGAGAGGCTTATAATATTTGGTTACAAAGAATGTAGAGAAATAGCAACTCAACCCTGCATAAATTTTTTTAATATATGTTCTGTTTGCTAAAATTTACATCTATTTTCACAATATGTCTTGATGACAGTGCCCACCAAGCCAACTAGGCCTTAGCTCATGACACGACTTTCAATTACACTAATGAGGAGAAAGAAGACTGACATTTTTGTGGATCCAAAATTATCCACAGCGACATGCCAGGTGCTTCACATATCTTTGCTCTCCTATAACCCTCACAGCAAGCTTCAGAGGTAACAACTGGCCCCTCTCTCCCTCCACACATCCCTTCATGAAAGAGAAATCAGAAGTGAAATAACCAGACCAGGGTCATACAGCTTTAAGAGCCATTGCTGTTATTTGAACATTTATTCTATTGAACCAATTAATTTCTCCAAAAATCAGAGTGTTACATCTGATCAAATGATTGGGTGGTTCCTTCTCCTGCTCTGTTTTATCTCATATATTTATGTAATGTTTTATTACTTATAAAGTACCATCATGTTCATCATATTATATCATCCTTACAACAGCCCTATGAAGTATGTAATACTGGTATCCTGTCCCTACAGTGTATTATGAAGAAATAGCTTCAGAAAAATCAAGTAATTTGCCCAAGGTCAGTCAGGTCTGACACCAAAGCCAATGCTTTTGTTCCCTCACATCTTCTCTTTTCTAGACACATGAGCCAGCAGAGTTGATCTGCATGGCAGCTGAGCATGATAGATTCAAGCCTGGGCAACTCTATGGGTATTTGCCATAAGGCTTCCGTGACTTCTAATGAACTGAAACAAAGCAGTTAGCCACAGATTATAATGCCACTGTGGTCCCATGACAAATGATAAGGAGGTGGCAGTAATGAAATTTTATTACTGCAAATAGAGAGACCACATCTGAGGTCTAGCACAGCCACATTTACCACTGTGGGAAACAAAATGAAACACCTGGGGAAGGGTCTCCACTGACTTTGGCAGTGAGCTAACAGGTTTAAGAAGATCTCCCGGAAACAGTGATTACAATGGCAAATGTGTGGCACCTAAGATAAGGACCAAATATTTATTCTGGCAGAGATTAAATCTTTTCTTTTCCTGAATCTAATATGGATCTTGCAGAAAATCTGCCCAAGAATATATCTTGCTGATCAGCCAATTCACTGAGCCAGAACCATACTTTGCCACTGCTATCACTGAAAAGCTACAGAATACTGGTTTAAAGGTCTCTATGCGTCCCCTAAAACTGTTTTCCATCCATGATTAATTAGTGACGTAGGGGTGAATTGAATCACCAGCAGTCCTTTCCATACATCCAGGATTTATGTACTGGTTTCTCACTGAAGAACAGTGGTGCAATAAACAGCCCACATCTGTGGGGTGGGCAGAGGAGTAATGGTGTCTGCAGTCATGGTTTCTTAACTCCTCTAGTACTTCCATTCTGCTTAGCAGGTTATGGCTCACATTATTACAGCCTTGCTTATTTAGGCATGAGGGTAGTGGGCAGTGACACACACATGCCCTTAGAAATAGAATACCAATTCTCCAAGAGAAAGCAGAAAAGTCACATTGGCATTTCTGAATTCCTTGATAAATAAGAAGAGAGAATAAAATGGGTAATAGTATTAATTATGGGCATAAAAAGTACAAAAAGAACCCATAAGCAGGTTCATTTATCCATGCATCATATTTTAAAGCTACGTGCTTTTCCTAGTGCAGAGATGTAGATAGTGGTTTCAACAAACAGATTTAAGAAATCATGAGTGTGTTTAGTCACAATTTTGGGAGGCACCTGGAACTCTTTTCCCAGAGAACAGAACATGGGAATTGCAGGCATCATTTTATATTGCATACTATGTAATCAGGGCACGAAGGAAATACTGAGGTCCACCCTGTATCTCTACATCCTTGAATGCTCACAGCCTGCTTTGGTTGATCATTCTATATTCCTCACTTCTAAGGTCAAGACTTGTTGGTGACTTGTCCATTCTTTTATTGGATACAAGATGAATTGACGTACTAAGAGATAAATGGAAACTTGAGGAAAGCCTGCATTTTGGGAAAATAAGTGAAGTGTACCAAACTATATATAGAAACCAGTGTCCCTCCCTCCAGAATGCTTAATTTGTTGACTTTTAGTAGGTGCTTAATAAATTTTGTATTTGTGTATTTAATGAATACATGAATGAATGAGTAAAATAAATAACTAAAGCTGAGATTCAGCAAAAGTCTTTTCTATATCTTGATTTATATGGATTCTGGACTTCTTTTCTCACATTCTTCTTTTTCTCTTCTTCCTCCTCCTGGTTTTTCTCCTTCTCTTCTTTCTCTTTCTTTCTTCTTCTTCTTCTTGAATAAAAAAAAATAGACGATAACAAAGGATCATGAACTAATACTGTGAATCAGTCTTATAGAATGTCAGAATTACTACTGATATGGTTTGGCTATGTCCTCACCCAAATCTCATCTTGAATTGTAGTTCCCATAATTCCAATGTGTTATGGGAGGGACCCGGTGGGAGGTAATTGACTCATTCGGGCAGTTACCTCCATGTTGTTCTCATGATAGTGAGTGAGTTCTCATGATATCTGATGGTTTTATGAGGGGGTTTTCCTCTTTTGCTCAGCACTTCTCCTTCCTGCTGCCATGTGAAGAAGGATGTGTTTGCTTTCCAGGCCTCCACAGCCATGCTAAACTACTAAATTTTATTATCCTTGAATGCCCAACATATTGCCAATAATTTGGAAAGCTAAAGAAATTGAGCAAGATGTCTCCCTTCTCTCCTTACACATGCCTCCAACACCCTGCAATGCTATAATGGCTTTCCAAGAGCTTAAAAGAGGCTGATTATATCTGAACAGTAAGGTTACATTTATTTCATGTCTCATTATGAATACTAGTTCCAACTTGTAGTCATAATGAATTATTAGAGAAGACTCAGAGTTTTAATAGCATTATGTATGCTTCGTGTTTTAGTGCACTTCCCAGGAGGTTGGTGATATCACCACTACCATCACCATTTGCATCATTATTATCTGTATTAGTCCGTTCTCACATTGCTATAAAGAAATACCTGAGAATGAGTAATTTATAAAGAAAAGAGTTTTTAATTGGCTCACAGTTCGGCAGGATGTATAGGAAGCATAGCAGCATCTGCTTCAGGGGAGGCCTCAGGGAGCTTCCAATCATAGCAAATCGGGGAGGAGGAGTCTCACATGACAGGAGCAGGAACAAGAGACACACAGGGAAGATGCCACACATTTTAAACAATCAGATCTCGTAAAAACTCACTATCACAAGAACAGGACCAAGGGAATGGTACTAAAACATTCATGAGAAATTGTCCCCATGATCTAATCACCTCCCACCAGGCCCCATCTCCAACACTGGGGATTACAACTGAACATGAGATTTGGGTGGGGACACATCCAAACCATATGGTTTCTTCATCGTCATAGTGTTACTCGTATCAAGTTCACTGCAATTTCCCTTCTGACAAGTCTTTAGTGGCCACAGAGGTTCTCTTTTGCTGGGTTGCATAAGCTCTGGTCTTGAATATATGTCTCTTTGGATTAATCTGAGGAGTAGGGCTACAAGTATGGGAAGCATGGCAGCCATCTAATTCTGAAAATTCTAGGTCAGTTTCACTGGCCTCTATTGGGGTTACCTTTTCTATGTGGTTGGGAACTGCAGAACCATTATGTGCATGTGTATGTGTGTGTGTATGTATATATATACATATATCCAGCTCCTCTGACATTGGCTCCTAACCATTCTGTACCCCTTCCCTTTGCCTTGATTACATGAAACTATGCTGACAAGTTCATACATATTTCCACTTTAATTGTAAATCTGAATTGACAAATGATTTAAGGTCCAGTGTCTTAGTGTCCTCTCTTAGTAAACAGGCCTAATTCATCTCACAGAAACAAACTTTGCATTGTCATGGCATAGCTATTTGGTAGTTCCAGGCCTAATATGCATTGAGGGGAATTGAATGATGTAACCTGTGCAGTACAGCCTGGGAGAGCAATTTGGGTGGTTTATGCCATTGGTTTTTATGTTTAGGATGAAAACTCATGGAGAAATATAGAATACTATTATTATCTTCATGCTGACAGCTCCCTCTTGGCACCTACAGGGTTTATTGCTGGTTGGAGGATCAAGTTTAAAGGGAGATAACTTCGTGGTTGGTGATAACTATGCCTTTTGTGTTTCTTTATTATAGGAACAGGGGAAAATTGGAGTTGTCTTCAATATTGGCACAGTTGACATCTCCATCAAAGAGGAGAGAACCCCTGTAAATGACGGCAAATACCATGTGGTACGCTTCACCAGGAACGGTGGCAACGCCACACTGCAAGTGGACAACTGGCCAGTGAATGAACATTATCCTACAGGTACATGTTGCTTGCTCAATGGTCCTACTCTTTTTGATGCTCCCATTCTCACTTTTAAGTGGTGATTTTTCTCATGACTATCACCAAATTCTAAAACACTGAGTGAAGTACACATTCATGATTTTTTTGTATGAGAAGATAAGTTATCTCTTTAGGACTTGATCCAGTATAGGGAGCTTCTGGAGACTTTACCAACTATGCACTGGACACTTTTTGTCAACCTTTGACTGATACAGCCTGACTGGCTCATACCAAAGACAGTTACTGTCGATTTTGCAGGGCCTGTAGATGAGGAGCAGTGAAGGGAAGGATCATCTCTATCATGAGCTAGTGTCGATAATCATAAGATGCTCCATTTGAGACTCAGACTTTGTGGTGCCATTTAGTTGGGTGTGGTTGAAGGTGCAGATGCCAGAGAGAGACTCTAAAAGGACATTTACTGAACTTGAAGACACAGATCAAGTCATGGTAACAATGAGAGAAAATCTTAAGGGTAGAATTGTATTCATTTGGTGGACTTCGCTAGTTTTTATTTTCTCACTTACCCTAAGCCTGCCGTGATATTCAAAGGGTGGTCCTAGTAGTCATTTTAATAGCAAGCATGCTGGTGTGGCAGGAAAAGGGGTTAATCATCTGTTTAAATTTTACAGTCAAGAAACATTCAGCAACAAATTCCCAGAGCCAGATGGCTGGATCAAGGACAATGGGAGAAGAGGTTGCCTTCCTTAAAAGAGATCATTCAAATAATCCCTCAGCTTTCCCTCTTGCCTCTTACTTCTCCCAGGAAAAGTCCTGAGTGCTGATCATAAAAGCGCCAGGAATGGAAGGGACAACCTTCGGCAAAGGGCCGTTGCTCCACAATTGCACGGTCACCTGATGGATGCAAGAGAATAGTCAGAATATTAACACTTCTCACTAATGTGGGCATGAAGTGACGTGCAACTCTCTATCCTACACACCAAACTCCCTACAATGTTCTCACCACTTTTCTCTAACTTCCTTTACAGTGAGGTGGGCACAATAACAAGGAAGCCTGAAGCACATTTTCACACATCTAAAAGCCATTAGCTAATCCTGGTTATGCTTGTGAGAAATATACAAAGTAAATTTGCCTATTTGTAGGCTAAGACTTTTGAATGGCTTGAAGGCTGTGATTGTATCTCCACACCTAACTCAGCATTAATTTTCTTCTTTAAAAGCCTATCGGAAGTATCTGTGCTGTTGGGTTGTTCCCTAATAGCTAGAGTCCCGCTATATCTGTTTAAGAATTGTAAGAGCATCTGGAAACAGCATGCAAGACCCCCAAGGTACTGAGGCAAAAAGCTCCACCCACTATTGATTTGCCATCTCAGTTTCCATAAAACAGCCAGCTCAGCCATTGCTGGGGGGGTCACAGAACTTCTTAGATCAGCCATTGCTGGGGGTCTCAGAATTTCTTAGATTAAGGCACAAAAATGCCCTTATGAGGTAATCTTTGAGTATTTGAAGAAAGCCAAAGTTATTAACAGCTTCTATGAATTTTTATCATTCAAATTCACTACACACTAATAGACTTAATTTTTAAATGCTTCTTCCTTAATCCCTAATGGTTGGGGGAGAGGGTGAAAGGAATAAAAACAGCCCAAATCTTAAAAGCTGTTCATAGGCTCATAGAAAAAAATCTGTCTCTCTCTCCATATATGTTATCATTGGCCTCGCTAGTGCTGCTGAAGGGTTTTGTTGTGTTTCTATTAGGAATTTCAGAGATTTCTAAATTGATGTTAACCACTTGCCTTGAGCCAATATAGAATCTACAAGTTTGCTGCCAGCAATGAGAAGGCTCTTTAATGGTCATTTTAAAGCCACAGCTATGTTAAGAAAACCGGAGACTCTTGCTGTGCGCCTATCTTTTTGTGTCTTTAGTTCCAAATTATGGGTTGCTTCCTATATGTTTTCAAAACAGAATAAACCTTTCTTTAATAGCATTGCTTCCTCCTGAAAACCATTATTATAGTTGGAAACTGTTATTTAGTAACAATATGTGTTGTTATTACAGGACAGGGTACAGTATAGCATTTCTAAGTATGGGCCTTGGAGTCAACTGGCTAGAGTTGGGATCTTGGTTTCATCACCTGTGAGTCTAAGGTAGTTGGATTAAGACCTTGAAATGTCCTAAGCATTGAAATATTTGGTGCCTCTCCCCACATGTAATTCAAAATACAGTAACACTGAACCATAAAATAAGTGTAAGAATTTCTAAGAGGTTTTATTTTTCTCCTCTGATGACTTCTGTAATGCTTTCAAAATATATTAGATTCTTTCTTCCCAAATTATCATTTTGTACTTTCTCCATTTTGTTGTTCTTTAAGATGTTCATTCTTCTCCTTGAGCCTGTTTCCTAGTCTGGATAACCAGGGTAATGCTATTACCTGGTAAATGTGAAGATTAAGTGAGTTGGCTACATGTATAATGCTGGGACAATTAAATCAATCCTCAATAAATGTTAGCTGTGAAATTTACCAAACATTTGGCTAGCATTTTAAATTAGGACATATTTTTGAATACAGATTTCTTCATTTTGACGGTAAAATACCCTATAAATTGGATAGAGTAGATGCTTTTTATTCTCCATTTCAAATAAAAACAGAGACCCAAGGAGGTGCTATGCCCTTCCTAAGGTCACACAGCAAGTGAAGGAAGAACTAGGACCAGATTTTTCTGTCTCCAATTGGGCACAATTTTCACTATTGCTCCCCCAGAGAATTGGGGGATGTTCTAAAACATGCATAGCTAGAAATGAGCATTTTTTCTTCTTGCGTCATCTTAGATTTATTTCTTTCTTTAAAGAAGTGTCATATCTCAAATGTCACTTCCAATGATCACACCAAGGTGGTTATTGTGAGGTGTGGAGTTCAAAATTCTCATTTAAAAGTTGTTTTATTGGCACCAGTGACCTCAAGCTATCCTCCTTACAACAATGGCAATGTGCTCCCATGAAGCAGTTGAAAGAATACTGAGTATTTAAAGGAGCTATCCCCTTACCTTGCTGCCTCGATTAAAAAGTTGTGTGATATACTAGATTGAGTTTTATGTTCCACTCTGCCAAGACTTCCTAGGAGCAGCTCACTTTTTGAGTCTTGGATACCTTATTTTCTCTCCTGTCTGCTTCCCTGTGCTATTAAAAGGATCAATTTAACTATTAATAATTTAAAATATCATGAGAACAATCTGGCAATGTTTATTTTAAATCATAAGATCAAAATGCCCAGTGTCTGGCCATCAAACAACCAAGCCATCAACCTGGCAAGGCAGTCTTGACACAGTTTCTACAAAAATGTGTCGTCTTGTTTTCTAAAGTCATTCTAATCGATAACAGTAGGTTTAGAAATCATCAAGGGTTTAGTCTCACTACTCACTTATTACTAATGTTTAAACAGTAAAGACATACAGAGTAGCTCCTATGGAAGATTTACGTAAGTTAAGTTATCTCACTCGGAGACCATGCTCTCGGGGAATTGTTCCTGCCCACAAGGTCTGAATGAGTCAGCTGTGCACCAGGATGAATGGGTCATGTCCACAATCTTCTCATGGGCATTTATGGGGCTCTACTGAAACATCCCACTGTGAAATATTTAGAACCCAGCTGGGCACAGGGCATGTAGCATTGGCTCTTTGTGAATCACGGAGGATACAGAATGAAAATAGTTCTATAGCAATCCGAATCTTATATCACTAAATTCTGGGAGATAGAACTCAAAAGCAACTTCTTTCTTTGAACCTGAAAATAGAAAAGCTAAGAAACAGGAGAGTGAAATAAAAGAAGAATCAGCCCGGAGCTATCATCCAGGCACTGACAAATGTCCCTTATAAAGTCTCTGATTGTTGTCCCTATACAATGCGGTGGTAGGAACAAGGGAGGGGAGGTGAAAGGTGACTTGGGTATGAGGAATTAATTTTAGCCACAGCTCTAGGCCCCCTGGAAGGCTGAGCTGACTGGGATTGTTGAATATCTTCTCTCTGCTGTGAGTGGGTGGCCGGTGGTACTGTCACTGCTGTAAGACCCCTGAGCAGGGTCCAGTAAAGGCTTTTCCGGTCCTATCTAGGCTTCCTGGGAAATGCAGACTGATATGCAGCTTCAATCTTTGCATGCCAGGGGGTGCTGAGGAGGGCAGGGTCTCAAGTAGCTTTTTTCTTGATATTGCATACCAACTCAGTTGAAGTGCTCTTCACAGAATTCCTCTTCTTCAGTCTTTAATATGCACACGAATGACCTATGTTTAAATCCTATTTGACCACCCAAGTTAGAACATGAAAAAGAGGTAAAAGTCGCTCCCTTTCAAGGATGCTACATTAGAAAACTCTGTTTATATTTGAGTTTGTCAAATTTCACAAAACCTTGTTTTTATAGGGATTGAAAGAGAAAACATTATAGTACTTACTGATGATCAAAATACCTTCATATACGTTATTACATTTGAGCCTCACTCCATCCTGTGAAGGACAGGGTTTGGTATTATTACTCCTGCCATACCCATTTTAAGATTACATTATTAAGGCTCTGAAAGGCTAAATAAATTTCCCAGTGTCACACAGCTTAAGGAGCAGAGTCAACACTTTTCTATCCTGATCCTCAGACTGCACAACTTCAAACTTTCTGCTCACTTTCCTATTGCTCAGAGCCATAATTTTATTAATAATGACAGTATTTCTTCTTGTAAAAACATATTCTCAAATGGAAATCTCTGCCTGGAGTAGTCTAGTTAGTAAGGTCTTTCAACCTATTGACATTTGGGACTGGACACATCTTTGCTGTTGGTGTGTAAGGGATGAGGAGGGGTACTGTTTTGCACATTGTAGGATGTTTAGCAGCATCCATGACTATTACCCCCTGGATGCCACTATCATGTTTCCACAAGTGCCAAATACCCTCTGGGCACCAAAATCACCCCCATTTCAGAGCCGCTGACTTAGAGAAAGTTTGCAATATATTTTGTTGTAAATACTTATCATGTTTTTGTAAT